ACCCAATGGGATGGGCCATTTCTCTTAAAAACTGATAAGTGGTGCGGTTATAGGAACCATCTTGTCTTTACCAATGTTTAGTCTATCGAAGGTCGAGGCAAATATGATATTTACTGAGCTTCCGATATCAATTAAGACCATTTTTACTATGTAGTTGTCGATCGTTAAGGTGACCACCAATGGATAATCATACGGGTGTTGAACTCCTCTCAGAACTTCTTCGAAAAAGGTGATTGGAGGTTTTATTTAGGATTTCTTCCTTGGGTGTACAAAGCTCACCTCCAACTCACCTAATTTTGCTCTTTGTGTTTGAACTCATTTAGTAGAGCTGTTCTCTCTACCTCCTGCAAACCCTTCGGAAATCATCGAAACCTCTTCAACAAGCTGTTGATGTTGTACCCCATTACGGGGAGGCTAGGCTTCACTACTTTCTTGAGGGTGGCACTTTATGAGCCTCCTTAGATGGCCTTTCCGGATCAAATATTCAATCTGGTCTTTCAAGACCTGACAATTGTTTGCGTTGTGGCCATGATCTCGGTGAAAATGACAGTATTTGTCCCTAGACCTCCTATTGGGAGGAGTTTTCATCTTCCAAGGCCATCTAAGCATTCTCTCATCATGTATTTGGTAGAGGATTTGCTCCACATAGGTGTTCAAAGGGGTGTAACGCTAAAATGGCTCATTGGTGTGCGGACCCAATCGATCCCTTTCACTTACCCTTTCGGTGCGATTCTTCTTGGGACTACTTGCATTTTCCTTCTTGGCTACAATATCTTGTCTTCTCTTACCATCTCTCTTTTCTTCTTGATTTTTTTCGAGCTAGGAGAGCATCCTCGGCATTCATGTAGCATTGTTCTCTCACCAAGAGCTCGGGCCTGGAGGAAGGTGGCTCTTTTAAAAGAGAAAAGAGGAACTGAGAAGACTAGAGGCTTGACAAGAAAGTAGTTAAGGCCACCTAGTCATCAACATTGTCAATCTGTAATGACTCTGTTGTGACATAGTTTACGTATTCTCGAAGTGTTTCATCTTGAATTGCTTTATATTGAGAAGATAGGTCGGAGGTCATCTGTGAGCATAGGCTCTGATGAAATGCAATCGAAAGGATGTGCTCAACTCTCCAAACGTGTTGATCGAGCTCGGTTTCAGTTTGTTAAATCAATGCCTCGCTATCTCTTTGAGTGACGTAACAAAGGCTTGACTTATAATTTGGTCTGGTATGCAATGCAGCATCATTAGAGACCTATAAGTCTCAGTGTGGTCCAATGGATCCTTGGTTCCATCAAACACCTCCATGGAACCTCTCTGGGATAGGGTAATTTGCCACATCTTGTGAAAATGATGACTTGGTGTGCTGAACCAGAGCCACAATAGCTTCTAGGACTCAGGCTTTCACTGTATTTATGACGTTTCCTATTTTTTCATTTTCTTCCTAAAACATTCCCTCCCATTGATCATCATTCTGAGGGTGGGACACATCTACTGTATTGATAAGAGACTTTTGAGTGCTAATATTGAAAGAATTTAAGGAAATCATTACTAAAGAGAATCTAGATCCTAACAAAACACTGTCTTGGTTTGCCCAAGACAATAAGCCTTTGTGCTCGTTTGATTTACAAGAACCAACAATTTTAAAACCATAGTGTAATACCCAAGATAAAAAAAATGAAATAACAATAATACTAATAAAAATAAAAATGAATAAATTGGATTTGAAAAGTTTTAGAGTTTTGTTTGGCTTGAGGTCTTTCCTTATGAGCTTGTGGATATGATTTGAAAATCAATGAAGATAATTTAGTTTTTTTGGTCTAGGGGAAAATATAATATAATTATATAGACCTATTAGGACTATTATACATGTAGTTTAAATAGGGAAGTATTATTGGATAGGTCAAACCCTTCGTATATATATAAATGTATTTAGGTTTGTAGAATTTTTTTATTGGTGAGAAGGTTTGTGGAGGGACTGTCCCGTGAACAAAGAAGAAGAAGAAGAAGGAGAAGAGAGAGAGAGAGAGAGAGAGAGATAAGGAAAAAGGAAGAGGAAAGAAAGAAAGGATTTAAATCCAGTAAAGGTATGGATTTGTTACTTAATTTATAGATTTTGTATTTTATTCAATCACATAGTGTTATATATATATATATATATATAAGATTCTAATTTAAGTGTTTTAGACCTAATTTAGATTGGTTAGTCTTGAAGTTTTAAGGAATTAAATCAATGTGCAAAAAGGAAAAAAAAAACAAGAAAGTAAGTACTGGTTCTAGGTTCCACCATTGGAAGAAGAAGACCAAATCTAAAAATTATAGAAAGCTCCCCTTTAGTTTCAAAGAGTTTTATTTTGACTCATTTATTCTTCTAAACTTAATTTTAAGTACCTTTTTACTTGGTAAGTTGTAAGAACAGAATTTTGGAAAGTTTATGACAATCCCTATAACAGAAAATTTGTTTTTTAAAAAATTACACTTTGACCCCAAAAGTTTTAAAATTATGATTTGACCTCAAAATTTTAGAAACTGTTTTCTAAGCAGTCTAAAATACTTTCATATCCTATTAACTCGTAGTAGAAAGGATATTTATATGTAAAAGATATATTAAGTATATATCAATAGGTAGGAAATATAAAAATTAAATATAGAATCGCGAAATGACGAAATTAGGAATAGGAATTGATTGTTATATGTTATTTTGGATTAGGTAGTGATTGTATTGAGGTTGAGAAAGAGTGCTTTGAATTAAATTTAGGGAATCAAGGTGAGTAGTTTACTACTTCTATTGGAAGGATTTTCTATATTAAATATGTGGGTGTGTGCGTGTGAATTTTTCATATATTTGATATATATGTTGGNAGTAGTTTACTACTTCTATTGGAAGGATTTTCTATATTAAATATGTGGGTGTGTGCGGGTGAATTTTTCATATATATGATATATATGTTGATGTTTGGGGTTGCAATTAAATATTTTATAATGGTGAACTATTATACTTGTGAATTTTGAAAAACTTGTAGCATGATTTTATATCATTGCTTAAATGTGTTTTAGTGATGAAAGAGAAATTTTGTGTTCGTTTGGACTAAAACTACAATTTTGGTGTGAGTGAAAATCATGTTTATGAGATGGGGACTGTGTTACCAGGTCTAAATGGTAACAAGATTGTATGCCGGCGTGGTCGGTATATGGATATGTACATAAAGGCCAGTTATCAGGCTAGTGATGACAAGAGACGAGGCCAGTTATCAGGCTAGTGGTAATAAAAGACGGGATCAATCATCAGGCTAGTGATGACAAGAGATGAGGCCAGTTATCAGGCTAGTGATAACAAACATGATTTAATAAATGTATTTGAAAATGAATGTGTGTGTGAGTGTTTTGGGTTATAAATGTCTTTTCATTTATAAAGTTATTTGTAAAAATGAGTGATACTTTAAGTTATAAATGTCTTTTCATTTATAAAATTATTTGTGATCATGAAATCATTTTTTTAAAGATTATGTGAGAGGGGTGGGGGTACAATTTATTGTAGTTATATGTATCAAAGTTTATTTTTGTATATAAACTGTGAGATTTATTTTTACACCTCATTAGAGGTGGTTGTTATTCACGGGTCTTTGTGCTCATCCAAACATTTAATATTTTTCCAATGAGAATCAGGGGGAGGAGTAAGTCCCCAGATAAATAAAAAATTAGAAAAATTAAAAATTTATTTTATTGTAGGTCTTCAGGAATAAATATTTTTTATGGTCTTGAGACAAATATTTAATTGTTTTGGGAGCAATATTGCTTAGGTTTAGAGTAGTGAATCTTATGATTTAATTATTGTTTTACATAGATTTAGTAATGATGTTGTTGATGTTTAGTTTATTCATCTAGTATTCATTAGGTCGGTGGAATGAATCACTTGATTATTTGTCTTCTGCTGTATTTTGTATTTATTATGCACCGGGTTAGTCGGTTAAGACCTTAGTGGCTGATCCGTCGCCCACCCTATGCGATCCGGGGTGGGGGTGTGACACATAAGAAATCCGTACTGTCAACTTTACCTAATATCAAAGTTCGATTTTTTTTAGAATGATAGTAAAAAAATTAATAAATAAATCACCCTTACTGTCACTCTACGGAACCATACATGACATTTTCACCTCATAATTCTCATTCAATTCCTTCAAAGTCATTAGATCTTTTTCTGGCATTCGAGAGGAAAAACGAAATAGATGCCGTAGTGACATTAGAATGGAATAAAAAGGGATTAGACATTCAACATCCGATGTTTTACATGCATAATTTCTTCCAGAGATGGAATTAAAATTTATTAAACTGACCACAATACCCCCCACACTGCTAATAATATCAGCTATAAACTCCACTTGTAAGGTTCCTACAAGACTGCATTTTTATTTTGTTTTGGTTATGTAACTTTGAATTAAGTAAATAAATTTAAATGTCCTAAAAAGCCATGAATCATATCAGAAGAATTTAATTCAAAGTGGCATTTTTAGGACATTGCAACTAAATAATATTAAGCTTAGGTGAAGATCGGATCATATCATTGTTATGTAAAAAAATGGTATACAACCAACTGGACCAAGTACAACGAAATGTAATGAGGAACATGGAAATAATTCAAAAGCAGAAACTATGAATCCATGCATAAACAATCAAAAAAGTGAAGCTGTGCAAAGGAAATAATTTTGACAAAATAACTAACTCTAGCAAAGACTTACCCAACACACCACAATCTAGTAAAAAACATAGCCAGAAAAAACAAACATATGGGCATATGATATTCTATAAGCAACCCCAGTACACTACAACAATATAAAACACAACACCACCACATAATTAAGTAGCATTAAACATACTCTACGAAAGGAAGGATGAAATTCATGAGCACCCTAGAAACAAGCATAAACAATATGTTCACCCAGGAAACCAAGATTTGTCAAATCATAATAAAGTTATTAATTAAAGCAAGTATTTCTTTGCCTTCTTCCCTTGCCTGATCAAATTCGGAAAACATCCGTCTGGAATCGCTCATCATACAACCTCCAGTGGCCATACCTGTCAGTGTGAAAGACTGACCTAGGGATATAGAAATTGGGCTTCTTGATATTAATCAAATTCTTTAAATTAGACGTGGCATTTGCAATATCACGGCTAGTCACGTTTGCACAACCAGATAGGTCCAAATATTCGAGGTTCAAACACCGCTCAGAAATTAAAGCAAGCCCTTTGGCTGATAACTTGGAAAACCGAAGTTCAAGATGCAGTAACTGTGGCATAAATTTTCCAATTGCAGCAGCGTCTGAATCTCCATCTTGAGGACAGGCATTCAGATATTCAGTTGGGACAATTACATGTTGGGAAGGATCCAACCAATTCATCAGGTTCCTTTTCAGAATTTTGAGGTTAGGACAGTGCCTTCCAATCAAAGCCAAAGACTCATGAGATATNTGATATATATGTTGGTGTTTGGGGTTGCAATTAAATATTTTATAATGGTGAACTATTATACTTGTGAATTTTGAAAAACTTGTAGCATGATTTTATATCATTGCTTAAATGTGTTTTAGTGATGAAAGAGAAATTTTGTGTTCGTTTGGACTAAAACTACAATTTTGGTGTGAGTGAAAATCATGTTTATGAGATGGGGACTGTGTTACCAGGTCTAAATGGTAACAAGATTGTATGTCGGCGTGGTCGGTATATGGATATGTACATAAAGGCCAGTTATCAGGCTAGTGATGACAAGAGACGAGGCCAGTTATCAGGCTAGTGGTAATAAAAGACGGGATCAATCATCAGGCTAGTGATGACAAGAGATGAGGCTAGTTATCAGGCTAGTGATAACAAACATGATTTAATAAATGTATTTGAGAATGAATGTGTGTGTGAGTGTTTTGGGTTATAAATGTCTTTTCATTTATAAAGTTATTTGTAAAAATGAGTGATACTCTAAGTTATAAATGTCTTTTCATTTATAAAATTATTTGTGATCATGAATCATTTTTTTAAAGATTATGTGAGAGTGGTGGGGGTACAATTTATTGTAGTTATATGTATCAAAGTTTATTTTTTTATATAAACTGTGAGATTTATTTTTACACCTCATTAGAAGTGGTTGCTATTCACGGGTCTTTGTGTTCATCCAAACATTTAATATTTTTCCAATGAGGATCAGGGGGAGGAGTAAGTCCCCGGATAAATAAAAGATTAGAAAAATTAAAAATTTATTTTATTGTAGGTCTTCAGGAATAAATATTTTTTATGGTCTTGAGACAAATATTTAATTATTTTGGGAGCAATATTGCTTAGGTTTAGAGTAGTGAATCTTATGATTTAATTATTATTTTACATAGATTTAGTAATGATATTGATGTTTAGTTTATTCATCTAGTATTCATTAGGTCGGTAGAATGAATCACTTGATTATTTGTCTTCTGCTATATTTTGTATTTATTATGCACCGAGTTAGTCGGTTAAGACCTTAGTGGCTGATCCGCCGCCCACCCTATGCGATCCGGGGTGGGGGTGTGACACATAAGGAATCCGTACTGTCAACTTTACGTAATATCAAAGTTTGATTTTTTTAGAATGATAGTAAAAAATTTAATAAATAAATCACCCTTACTGTCGCTCTACGGAACCATACATGACATTTTCACCTCATAATACTCATTCAATTCCTTCAAAGTCATTAGATCTTTTTTCTGGCATTCGAGAGGAAAAACGAAATAGATGCCGTAGTGACATTAGAATGGAATAAAAAGGGATTAGACATTCAACATCCGATGTTTTACATGCATAATTTCTTCCAGAGACGGAATTAAAATTTATTAAACTGACCACAATACCCCCCACACTGCTAATAATATCAGCTATAAACTCCACTTGTAAGGTTCCTACAAGACTGCATTTTTATTTTGTTTTGGTTATGTAACTTTGACTTGAGTAAATAAATTTAAATGTCCTAAAAAGCCATGGATCATATCAAGAAGAATTTAATTCAAAGTGGCATTTTTAGGACATTGCAACTAAATAATATTAAGCTTAGGTGAAGATCGGATCATATCATTGTTATGTAAAAAAATGGTATACAACCAACTGGACCAAGTACAACGAAATGTAATGAGGAACATGGAAATAATTCAAAAGCAGAAACTATGAATCCATGCATAAACAATCAAAAAAGTGAAGCTGTGCAAAGGAAATAATTTTGACAAAATAACTAACTCTAGCAAAGACTTACCCAACACACCACAATCTAGTAAAAAACATAGCCAGAAAAAACAAACATATGGGCATATGATATTCTATAAGCAACCCCAGTACACTACAACAATATAAAACACAACACCACCACATAATTAAGTAGCATTAAACATACTCTACGAAAGGAAGGATGAAATTCATGAGCACCCTAGAAACAAGCATAAACAATATGTTCACCCAGGAAACCAAGATTTGTCAAATCATAATAAAGTTATTAATTAAAGCAAGTATTTCTTTGCCTTCTTCCCTTGCCTGATCAAATTCGGAAAACATCCGTCTGGAATCGCTCATCATACAACCTCCAGTGGCCATACCTGTCAGTGTGAAAGACTGACCTAGGGATATAGAAATTGGGCTTCTTGATATTAATCAAATTCTTTAAATTAGACGTGGCATTTGCAATATCACGGCTAGTCACGTTTGCACAACCAGATAGGTCCAAATATTCGAGGTTCAAACACCGCTCAGAAATTAAAGCAAGCCCTTTGGCTGATAACTTGGAAAACCGAAGTTCAAGATGCAGTAACTGTGGCATAAATTTTCCAATTGCAGCAGCGTCTGAATCTCCATCTTGAGGACAGGCATTCAGATATTCAGTTGGGACAATTACATGTTGGGAAGGATCCAACCAATTCATCAGGTTCCTTTTCAGAATTTTGAGGTTAGGACAGTGCCTTCCAATCAAAGCCAAAGACTCATGAGATATTTCATAGCAATAGCTAATGTCAAGTTCCCTAAGCTTGGGGCACCCATGACCAATGTTAATCATGGAATCATCTGTAACATTAGGGCTGCTCTTAATAGAGAGAACTTGAAGGTTTGAGCACCTGTAAAAGAAGTAATACAAAATCAATTTTGATCATTCAAGTACTAAAAATTCATGGTAAAAACCCATTTTCAACTCTAAAACCAAAAAAAAAAAAAATTGCTTTAAGGAAATAAAAAAGGTCAGAAGACATTCAAATATCATAATCAATTAAGAATTCAAACCAGAAATACCAGCTGCAAGATTAAGTGGTGTATCTCTTGTCATGTCACCCCCTAACGGCAAACATTGGATTCAAGTCCCACGGAAGGCACGGGTGCAAGTACAATTAGGGAAAAACTAATCATATCTTCCTTAATCTTATCTCAACATCCAACAAGAAATGAAGAAAAAGAGTATCAAACCTGAAATATGTTGTGCAAAATAAAAAGAAAAAAAAACAATTTCACAGGTCAAAGTTAAAAAAAAAAACTTACAACAATAAACAAAAAAGTTTTACGCCAATGAAAACAGGATAAAGAAGTTTTATCTTTCAAGCCTAACTCAAACACACAACAATCAATGTCCTGCTTTAGAAACTTCTTTCATTATACATATCCTATCTCAGTNGCGACAGCGGACATGGTGGCAGTAGTTGGTGTAAGAGCTGGTGATTGTGACAATGATGGTGTCTAACATGGTAGCATCAATTGTGAGGTGGTGGAAGTGGTCAAGGGAAGGACAATTAAAAAAAATGATGATAGTTTCTTGAACTAGTCAAATAGTTTGATCAAATTCAGTCTTAAATTTCAGTACATTTTAAACAATCTTCAGATTAAAATTTTGGCATTCACATTAAAAAATAAATTCGGTGCTTAATTCTCAGCTTTATCAAAAAAACCAAAGCATACAAAATTATAACAAAATTCAATAATTGGATGTCTTAAAAAAAAACAGAAATTCAGAACCGTTTACAGTGACCCAGAAATGAACCCAAACCATGTAATGATCGATTGCAAAAGTCCAACCTTTCAAAGCAATCCAAACAACATTCACATTCAACCATCAAAAACCTAACCTTACAACAACAATCAATTGAAAGAATTCAGATCCAAAAATCAATTACAATAATTCAGATACAAAAATCAATAACAAGAATTCAAATACACAAATCAATTACAAGAATTCAGACTTGATGATGGAAAGAAAAACAAATCTAATTTCCATTCATCCAACACCTAACCCTACATAGAAAACAATCACAACAAAATCCAAACTTTGAAGAAATCCAAACAATATAAAACCCATTCCACATCATCCAAAAGACAACCCTACTAATAGATAACCATTTCCTAAAATCCAGACCATGGTTACCATAATTCACTCAACCACTGACGATCCACGATTTGGGTACACCGATCTCAAATGGGTTGTGTTCGCAATCCAGATCACAAAAATGAACGACCCCAATTTATAATACTACCCCTAAATCAATTCGCTTTAGAACATANCCACTTGTAAGGTTCCTACAAGACTGCATTTTTATTTTGTTTTGGTTATGTAACTTTGACTTGAGTAAATAAATTTAAATGTCCTAAAAAGCCATGGATCATATCANATATATATTAATTGACTACATGTATATAGATTTATAATTATATATTTTTTTAGTTAATAGAAAATCAAGCACAACTATAAGATAAATAGTAATTGACTTAGTATTTATGAATATTCTGTGATANTCAGAAGAATTTAATTCAAAGTGGCATTTTTAGGACATTGCAACTAAATAATATTAAGCTTAGGTGAAGATCGGATCATATCATTGTTATGTAAAAAAATGGTATACAACCAACTGGACCAAGTACAACGAAATGTAATGAGGAACATGGAAATAATTCAAAAGCAGAAACTATGAATCCATGCATAAACAATCAAAAAAGTGAAGCTGTGCAAAGGAAATAATTTTGACAAAATAACTAACTCTAGCAAAGACTTACCCAACACACCACAATCTAGTAAAAAACATAGCCAGAAAAAACAAACATATGGGCATATGATATTCTATAAGCAACCCCAGTACACTACAACAATATAAAACACAACACCACCACATAATTAAGTAGCATTAAACATACTCTACGAAAGGAAGGATGAAATTCATGAGCACCCTAGAAACAAGCATAAACAATATGTTCACCCAGGAAACCAAGATTTGTCAAATCATAATAAAGTTATTAATTAAAGCAAGTATTTCTTTGCCTTCTTCCCTTGCCTGATCAAATTCGGAAAACATCCGTCTGGAATCGCTCATCATACAACCTCCAGTGGCCATACCTGTCAGTGTGAAAGACTGACCTAGGGATATAGAAATTGGGCTTCTTGATATTAATCAAATTCTTTAAATTAGACGTGGCATTTGCAATATCACGGCTAGTCACGTTTGCACAACCAGATAGGTCCAAATATTCGAGGTTCAAACACCGCTCAGAAATTAAAGCAAGCCCTTTGGCTGATAACTTGGAAAACCGAAGTTCAAGATGCAGTAACTGTGGCATAAATTTTCCAATTGCAGCAGCGTCTGAATCTCCATCTTGAGGACAGGCATTCAGATATTCAGTTGGGACAATTACATGTTGGGAAGGATCCAACCAATTCATCAGGTTCCTTTTCAGAATTTTGAGGTTAGGACAGTGCCTTCCAATCAAAGCCAAAGACTCATGAGATATTTCATAGCAATAGCTAATGTCAAGTTCCCTAAGCTTGGGGCACCCATGACCAATGTTAATCATGGAATCATCTGTAACATTAGGGCTGCTCTTAATAGAGAGAACTTGAAGGTTTGAGCACCTGTAAAAGAAGTAATACAAAATCAATTTTGATCATTCAAGTACTAAAAATTCATGGTAAAAACCCATTTTCAACTCTAAAACCAAAAAAAAAAAAAATTGCTTTAAGGAAATAAAAAAGGTCAGAAGACATTCAAATATCATAATCAATTAAGAATTCAAACCAGAAATACCAGCTGCAAGATTAAGTGGTGTATCTCTTGTCATGTCACCCCCTAACGGCAAACATTGGATTCAAGTCCCACGGAAGGCACGGGTGCAAGTACAATTAGGGAAAAACTAATCATATCTTCCTTAATCTTATCTCAACATCCAACAAGAAATGAAGAAAAAGAGTATCAAACCTGAAATATGTTGTGCAAAATAAAAAGAAAAAAAAACAATTTCACAGGTCAAAGTTAAAAAAAAAAACTTACAACAATAAACAAAAAAGTTTTACGCCAATGAAAACAGGATAAAGAAGTTTTATCTTTCAAGCCTAACTCAAACACACAACAATCAATGTCCTGCTTTAGAAACTTCTTTCATTATACATATCCTATCTCAGTCATACAAAGCCTGTTAGGATCATAATCCATGGTAAAATTTCTACCCCTAACCCTATCACACAAAAAGATGGCTTAAAACAACCAAACAATTCAAAACTCACTTCCCCTATTCAAGCCAGCTCTACCATACAAAAACCAGTCCATTGATCAGTGCAACCAATGGTACGATCTAAACATGAAATATGCAATTAATTCAAATCCAACAATACCATAAATCAATCAATTGCAAAAACTGAATCCTGAAAAACCCAGCTAAAGCAGAACCCATTTTTATCATCCAAAAACTAAGCCAGTCTTTGATAACCCAAAGCACCACTTAAGATTGAAAATATCTTCCATTTTCTAAATTAAGTGTTTTTGACAACCAAAACACACATCCCTTAAAAAATAAAGAATCTCTTAAAGATAGAATAAATTTGTAAGTAGTAATCTCTTACTTATAATTGAATGCTAAATATGATCAATGACTTAAGATTTTCTAAACTTTCACGATATACCAATTTTTCCTCAAATAAGTTAGTCCCATACCATTTTAAACCCCAACTTTCCACCACTGACCAACAACATCACCTCACCACCTGACCTCCCAAACCCAACACCCCCACCATTACCCCCAACCATTGCCGCCGCTGCCACAATTACCATAACCCCCCCCACCCCCC